TGCAACTATCAAGTGCATCAGTACTAACAGAATTTGTGGTGACATTATTAATTTTGCGGGTAGGTAGTTCTTAAGTTTAATTATTTTTTTGCTCTTATTTAAATTTTAACTTTTATATCTTCGATTTGTAGAATATAATAATAGTCAATATGTCCATATTATTACACGCACCCTTAGTTAGATCATTAAGGCGTGTAGAAAAAAGCACAAATGTAGATTCTGACTAGATTTTATATTTTATTTTATTTCTAATCAATAAAGCTAGTCCTGGTGGCTGATTTCGGTGCATACATAATCATGTTTACTTTCGCATATTTGTTTCGTGAATTTATTTATTGTATTTACATTACTCGTATATGACCGAAAATTTTCTTGGCATTTTTTGATAAACATTGTTTGCTGAAATTTTATCACGATTTTGTTTTGGTTCTCTTGAAAAAACATCTTATAAAAATAATCCTAATTGAAATTAAAAAGCATTATTCACATTTCGTGCAAACACAGCCAAGACGTGGTTAATAAAAATCTTTTTCAAACACTTGTGATAAAGTTATATAATATTAAATATGCAAACACAGAGAGACGAGACTAAAGACTTATCTGAAACTGTTTCATTATGAGAATTAAATTCAAAGCTTATTACTATAATTGCAGAGTTTAGAAAGGAGAATACTGAAATCAAGATTGAGAACATTGAACTTAAAGCTGAGAATATAAAGGTTAAAGCTGAAAATGAAAAATTAAAACAAACTTTGGAAGAACATGGAGTCAGATTTACGAATCTAGAACAGAAGGATAAAGAAAAAACCGACCTTATCGCTAAACTTGAGCAGAGTGATAAAGAAAAAATGGATCTTATAGCCAAACTGGAATATAACGTTTCACTAATCAAAGGAGAGTATTTGCAAGACAAAAGTAAAGTGTGCCATCAAACCGTTACTAATGTTTCGCAACAGGTAGAACCTGAAATCTCTGATGATGAGGGTTCCTTCAATAACAACGAAGATGATGGAGGGTTCTGTGGTTTTTCTGATGATGATGAAGAAGGTTATTATTACAATTTAAATACTGGTGTCATAGAAAATCGGATTCCTTTTTTTTTTTTTTTTTAAGGTGAGGTTGAAAATCGGATTACTTAATAGCGCATATTAACAATAGATATTGACTTTATTGATATATATAGCGGAGTCGACACTCTGTGTCTATTTTTTTGATACTTAAATATTTTTGACTGCTTTTTTTATTAGTAAATTATTTATTTTTATATCAATATCTGCAAACAAAACGAAAGTTTATTTTATAGAATGTGACCCAGGTCACAACATCACGTGATATATAGGACATTATGATCTTCCCCAGTATCGCCAACAAAATTTTGTCATTACGTGATGATCGATAAAATTGTTTAAGTTCATTTATGTTAGGGTAAGTGTTTGAATATTAAGGGGATATAGTAAAATTACTCGAGGAATTTTTTTGTTAATGCATAAAGGGTTGTTTCTTAAGGGTAGAGGATACGATTTGTAAATTATATATAAAATCAATGGTATTTTGTTTTATTTTTTTAAATTAAACAAAATTTTATTAAGAAAATTGGTTTTATATTTTTAAATAAAATTGT